AAGGGATGTGTACAGCCTTCTCATAAAATGGCCATGCTCATACTTTACTACTCCTGACAGAATTCCTTTCCAACTCATTAAAAATGTTGCTCAGGCCATTGCGTTTCCACTTTCGGATAGACAAGAGCCCAGGGTACGAACTGATCAATAGTGTGATTGAGTATAGAAAGGAACATTGAATACTTATCATCAACCGTGGATAGGGTTTCAAAGGATTCAACCCATAGGATACTAGAAAGATAACTGAGGACGCGGGAATAGTCGCATTTATGAAACAGTCTCTTGAAAACTGGCAAGCAAGGAGGAAGAGATGCAGTAATATCAAAAGAAATGCTGGAGTGATCACTGTGCCCAAGAGCAGAATTAATTGCGATATTGTTAATAAGGTGCTGATCATTCGTAAGCACTAAGTCTAATATGTTTTCACCCCTTGTGGGCTCCTTTGACAAACTGTGAGAAACCGTGATATGCAAAAGTTTCCGTGAGAGGGTGCGAATTTTCACTATTGGGATTCCATTGTGCCCAATCAATTTCTGGCATGTTGAAATCACCAATTACAATAACAGGGCATGAAGCAACGGATAGATCACTGATTGCTTTAGCTAATTGTTCTGTAATGTGCAATGGTGTCGATGGTGGCCTGTATACTAAAACGATCCTGACACGAAGTTCAGGGGCAGCAAAATCCAACGCTAGTATTTCGTACCCCTTAGGGAAGGACTCGGATAAGATAGTGGTATAATTAACCGTTTTTCTGATCATCATAGCAACCCCTCCACCAGTTCTGCGCGCCCTATCACAACGTACAATAGAGTAATCACTAACCCAATCGCTAAGCATCGATGGGACAAAATGGGCTTTTTTTAACCAAGTCTCAGTGAATAGATAAAGATCGAACCTATCACGGATGGCAAGGTCAAGAAATGAACAATTCTTCGGAAATGATCTAATGTTCGAATAGAATACTGAAAAGTTCAACGAATATGCACAACCATTATCATGATGAACATCAACAACATGCCGAGGAAAGGAAATCAGTTTCCCTGTGAAGCGAGAATGGAATGTGAAAAAGCATCTGAAGTGTGAACACCAAGTGCTTGATGATTGGACTTTTGATAATGAAGACGTTCTTCTCGACGTCTTTTTCTCTCGGCTTCGCTGAGGGACTCCCTAAGGAATACCCCTTTTTCCGAGAAAAAACGAAGTCGAGGAGCACGCCGCACGGCTATACGTTGGTAATATGAAGAAGGCATTATGACCTTAAGCAGTCTATTTTTCCCCTCAATGGGCCTTCCTAATCTATACACAGCTAGTGGAAAACAACCTACATCAAGGTGACATAACACATTGAGAACACTGTGATAATCATAGTTCAAGTTCATGGAAACCGCCTGTTTTTGAGCCTCAGTGGGCTCTGACAACTTTTACCAGTTGCTGAGTGGAGGGTCCTTATAAAGGTACTATAGGAATCGAGGAGGAAAATAGTCGCAAATGGGGTCTTACTTGAGGCACGTGATTAAGAGTGAGCGGCTCTGAGCGGCTCGTCGGAATGGTTTCTTCAATGATCGGAGCGGTGTTCAGCTACAACGATCGGATGGCCTAGTGGATAGCGATTCTCAAGCGGACAGTGAGGGTGGGGGTTCATGGTTCGACTCCCCTCGGCTTGCGAGTTTTTGCATTTTTATGTTCCGCTGTTCTCGCTTCCATATATGTCTGTTTATGAATTTTACTGGATATCTACCATTTATAGGCACATTCTAAATAGTTATACCCCATTAGTCGGTGCTATTCAACAATTTCGATTTTCACATACCATTAAGCAAGAACTTTTCTGAAAGTTGATCTTTATATGTTATTCAGTGCCCTGATCACGACTATGGCATTTACTTTCAGCTGTAGTGCCATATCGCCATTTTGGATCCACTTCCTCCCACTGGAGTCGCTATGTACACTCATTTGAGGGACTTTTAGGGCCATTCTGACGCCAGATTGCGTTGACGCCAAGAATAAGTGTCAGAATCGTGATCAGGACCATCGATTACCCCTATAGGCAAACTTTCGCCAAAAAAATTTTGACTTCATCGAGTTGTTATAGGTCGACAGTGATGACCGGAGACCCACAACTTTGGAGCTGCGATGACGTAGCGATGACGTGGTGGGCCGCCGGGCAGCCGTATCGCGGATTTGGTGCTCATAAGGTCCATTCATACTTGGCATGGGCATGGGTGGCCGCAGAACAAGTGAAAACCATCCTGGACATTTGTCGACCCCCGCGACGGCTCGCTCAACGAAGATGTCGTCCTCCCCTACCAAGAGGAGAGACTCATCCGATTTCTTCATCAAATGCACCTGGAGGAATGATGACTATTTTGTTCTTTTTTTCGATGGCGTTTATGGTTGTTGCTAGTTTTTTGTCTCCGTACTGAATGATGAACCAGCAAAAGTACGACTTCAACAAAGTGACTCTTGAGCATAACCCAATGCACAGACTCAAAAAAGTCAAAAAATTTTTTTGGCCGAAAGTTTGCCTATAGGGGTAATCGATGGTCCTGATCACGATTCTGACACTTATTCTTGACGTCAACCAATCTGGCGTCAGAATGGCCCTGAAAGTCCCTCAAACGAGTGTACATAGCGACTCCAGTGGAGAGAGAAGTGGATCCAAAATGGCGATGTGGCACTATAGCTGAAAGTAAATGCCATAGTCTTTCCTAATGGTATGTGAAAATCGAAATTGTTGTATAGCACCGACTAATGGGGTATAACTATTTAGAATGTGCCTATAAATGGTAGATATCCGAGTAAAATTCATAAACAGACATTATGGAAGCGAGAACAGCGGAACATAAAAAATGCAAAAACTCGCAAGCCGAGGGGAGTCGAACCATGAACCCCCACCCTCACTGTCCGCTTGAGAATCCTCCACGCTATCCACTAGGCCATCCGATCGTTGTAGCTGAACACCGCTCCGATCGTTGAAGAAACCATTCCGACGAGCCGCTCACTCTTAATCACGTGCCTCAAATAAGACCCCATTTGCGACTATTTTCCTCCTCGATTCCTATAGTACCTTTATAAGGACCCTCCACTCAGCAACTGGTCAAAGTTGCAAGTGATTTAGAGCCCACTGAGGCTCAAAAACAGTCGGTTTCCATGGACTTCTTTTTCACTCCTTTTTTGGTATTCCCAGAGGCGTTCAGGAAAAATGAACACCAGTTTGGTACTCCATGCACGTGACCCCACATCATGCAAAAAACCGTTTTCAAAAAGCGCTCCACGTCCTGAACGACCTCCTCAGGTAAGCGTGCTTACGGCTGTTCATGCTGTCACCTTTTTCGTTCCATAGTGCTGCTGGTGTTTGTTTTCACCAACTTACTGTTGAAGGAGACTGCGTGCGGTGCCAGATAAACCCTGACGTGAGCTGGGTGTGATCCCTCCCTTCAAGAATGCCCGTCTTTTTCCAATATTTCTGCTTATTGCTGGTTGGCACGAAGATTTTATCTGAAACGTTCTCAGAGGAAAATGGGTCGATGAGCAAATTCACAACTTTCGTTTCCAACGTCTTCTTTTCAGTTCCCACATTCCTGGTTCCGATGTTCGGTGTGTCTAGAGAGCAAGTCACCCTCGGCGACAACATGTGGTCATCTTTTCTGTTGGAACTGTATACAGGTATGATGCAGTAAGCGGAAAATTACCTGTGAACGTACGCGTGTTGCTAGTGTACATCTGTTCAGGAGCACGCCCTGTCCAGTGATGATGAAGCGCACTGTCCCCATTGTTATGGGCTGTGTGACGCCATCTACAAGCGCTACCCCTTCTTTAAGTGATATTCTGGACTGATTAATTCTGTAGAAGCGCAGATAATCATTTGACAAGGAAGATTCACCCCTCTGCTCAATCGTGCTTTCACTTCACGCACATTCGACTAGGCCTAGAAGTCGCATGAAGTTTCATTTGTGCATTTGGAATATGCGTCCTGATAGAGTCTCTAATTGCAAGGTATATTCTCCTTTGGCGCAGCTTTGTCGAGGGGGGGGGGCATTCTTCGCTTTGTCCCTAGATGTAGTCGCGAGCGCATCTTAGGCAGGCATGACCCGTTTCCTCGAGTTGACACGTTTTAGGATAGTGGCTAGACGATCTTAGTTCAGCTTCACAAGAGTTCACAGGTTTTACCAGAGTGAGATTTGTAAACCGGAACTAGGGAAGCAATGATAACAAAATGCCCCCCCCCGTCGACAAACAGCGTCTGCTATTTGTCTTGTTGCCTAGTCTCTAAAAGTGAAATGATTCGATGTATATCAAGATTGCCCAAGAGGAACTTGGAAAGTCTGCTGTAATTCTTCCTGGGAAGCATTTTCCGACATTGCCAAGTATAAGAAGTAATAAATTATTGTTCTTTTGTTCACCTTGTCTGCCAAAATTGTGTTACTGCTAACATATTGGAACTTGTGGTGTATGTAAGTTATTCTCTAATCCTCAGAGATCTGAGGCAAACTCTACGTTCACCTGCGGGGACGGTCCTTTCTTTATGCCAGGTGAATGGTTTGCAGCTGCAGTAGTTTCCAACATTCCTCAGGAGTGCAGGGAAACGGGGCTAGGGGGTAGTGGTACTTGGGTGCCGTTCAAAGCTCGCAGCGAGTACGCTGTCACGGATAGAGAGCAACCAGAAGTGAGACGGCGCAGACAAGTAGCGCGTTTGGCTATAGATAGGCGTGTAACTGGCACTGGCAGTGCGGAAAAACGGGCGAAATTCCAAACGGCGCCCGGATAACACTACCCTCTAGCTCCGTTCCCGTGCACCAATGCGCAGAGAAGGTAAAATGTTGCTACAGGTTGTAGACTGACAAATTCCCTCCCACATGACGAAGAGCGTCCCTGGGGGTGAGCGTACAGTTTGTATTCAGGTTGCATATGTGAGACTCTTATTTTCCATTTTTCCCGGAACTTCTCGAGAAAACTCGCTTTTCCGGTAAATTTCGCTGTCGAGCAGTGCGGAGAGGGTGCCACCAGGGCATCGTGATGTGTGAAATGGTGGCGTCAGTACGACCTCCCCCCTTCACTCTCCGACACCTACCCACCAATTTCCCACATTCTCCAGTTCTTCACCCAGAAAATTGCCGTCGAGCGGGGAGGGGGGATATAGCCAATGTGAAACAGGAAAACACGAGAAGAACAACTGGGACAAATTTTTTTTCCAAACGCAGCAAATTCCTCTCAAAGCCACAAACGACCTCCTTTCTCCCAACAACGACCACGTACGACCCCTCCCCGATGTGTTTCACACAACGATGCTGTGCCACTTACTAGAGGGGGGGGGACGGATAGAAATACGACCTCCCGCCTCACAGTGTCCGTGAAACAAGAAAAATCAACTATCAAAAAAATTCTTCCAACGATTACGACCCCCCCCCCCCATTCGCATTGATTCCCTAACGTAGGACGTGTTCTTGTCGTAGTACAGTACTATATAAGATGCAAAGCAGCCTAAGCTGGAGCCTTTGGCAGGATGTTATATTTTCTTATAGGTTCGGTATCCATTATTCTGTGAAAGAAGGCGAGATCTGGTTAGTTCGTGTCTAATTTGGCCTGGGGGCAATGTAAACGCCATATCCGTGAAGACACGAAAGGCGTGGCCGTGTACTTGGAAGATCGTAATATGTGTGGCGATATTCAGTTGGCACAAACTGTCATCTTTGTCTTGCAATCGAAACAAAGACATGATTGCGCTTTTTCTTAACCGGAACTTTCCCAACGAAAGGAGAGTCACCGCCACGTTCAAATGAAGTCTGTAGCCGCTAAGTGCGGCTCTCGATAAACCCCGTATAGCGGTAATACGATGTGTTCTTGTTTTTAGAGCGACCTCGCAAGTTTAGAACTACTACGCTTACCCTCGTTCGATCGGAACACCCTTCAGAGCCTTAAGTAAGGTCTAAGCGATTTCTAAGCGCTTGATCTTATCAGGCTATGTTGGGTATCCTGCCAGTTTTAATGGATGTCGGACCTTAGTATCAGGCTCACCCAATTAGAGGAAGAGCATTTACCGAAACGGAGTCCGATCTTATAGACCAGTAAGAAGCTGGCTGTTAAACAAATCGGGCTATTGTTCATCAGCATTCCTCGTGATAGGCCAACCCTCATATAGGGTCTGTCGTGCCGGGGGCGGCTTCCTGTTCCCCTCATGCCTGGCGTCTTACCAGGTCGTGAGGCCCCTCTGACCTAGCATCGGTGTCTCGAGGGGAAAGGATCCGTCCTCGGCGCGAGGGTTTGCAGAGGACTTACGAACGCTTGCCTATGCTCGTCACGGTGCTGCCACGCGGGTGCTAATGGAGCTAAGCGCTACCGGTAGGCCCTTACTGCCCCTGCGCTAAATGTACCCTACGGTCACATACCTACTACCCTTCCACCTACGCCCTGTCCTCACTCCTACCTAAGGATAACTGCTCCTGCGGGATCCCTTATCCGCCATTAACATCCTACAGGGACCAACGACCAACGCATTATGAATTGTACTATGAACTATGATAAAAACTATGATGAATAAATATGTGAGAAATGATGTGGATCAACCACTCTTGCTACACAACAAAACACAAGTAATTATTACGTTTACCACTCTACAAATAACTGTGAGCAATAATAATAAAAAAGGAAAGAACTACTAAGAAGTGAAACTACTAAGTGAGGTACGGCCCCTAACCTACTGACGAACCCTGCCACAGAACTGCCTACGGGCCACGAGGGTACAGCCCACTGGGGGCCTTGAGACACCCTCCACCACTGCTGCCAAGGGTTTCGGTGCTCCTCCTCCTCCAGTGGTACCTGGATGTTCCTTGTTCGGAGGCAGTAGTGCTTGCTGTCGAGTACGGCTCCTTGATGTTGAAGTGTTGCCATTGTAGTCGGATAGTGAAGTTGGCACAAGGCGACGAGCGAAGGAGCGACCAGTCGATACGGCGGCAGACGTCGAAGTGAGAGAGAAGCCAGAGTCGGCGGCGACTCTGCATCCCTAGCGGCTTCCAGAGTGTTCGACCGTAGCCGCTAAGCGCGCCAGGACCGCCGCGCGCCCCATAACGCGACCCTTTAAAAAGAGTCGTACGAAAGTCACGACACAGTCTGTAGCCACGCCTACTGCCCCTCAACAGTCAACAGGAGTAGAAATGAAGTGTAGTCCACCACTTGTTAAAGCTTTCAAGCTTCGCGCAAACTTCGCGCAAACTTCAAATATTCTGTCCCTTTCAAGTTGAAGCGTTGTGTTGTGCCTAACTACTTCAGCAATTTTTTACAGCCGTCTACAAAGATTCCGTCCAGTGGTCTGGTCCGCAGATGTGGCGACAGCCGGCCCGCTATCTATGCACTGAAGTTCGCCAGCATCCTGAACTTTACTTCTCTGGAATCCAACCTACTGGCGTACCACATCTTGGAAACTATTTTGGCTTCATAGAACCATGGACGAAGCTGCCAGAAAGTATTTGGTAGGCTAACCATAAGCAGTTACGAAATAGGCATTTCAATGAGTCCGTGTTAATAGGTTTGTCACCAGAAATCCCATCGGTGGCGGTTGTTCAGCATCTATGTCGTTTTAGGATCTTCCTCCCTCGACGAAGATGGTTCTGGCTATAGCTGACCAACACGCGATTTCTCTTGGCCCAAAGTCTTCGAAAGAGGTTTGGGATGTTTCTCCTTACTTCTCCGTTACAAAAAAGTGATAGTCTTTCCTTATCTATGCCACATTCTATGTCAGCTAAAAGCAGCATTTGCTGAGTTTTTTCAACTAGGAAAGCCTCAAGAGCGAGGGGGACCAAGTTATATCAGAGGAAGCTTACGGTAAAAGGAAATAGCAAGGGGGGAGTACTCTTTAGTGTTTCATACGCCTCCTCAGCGATACGGAGGGATTTACTTTAGACTTTAGGGAAGGGATTTGCTGACTTGCTCATCACTAACGGTCTCCTCCCAAGGTAATGCAAGGCTTACTCGATTTCGGACGTTAGTATAAAGCAACGTGACATCTAGCGACCCATTGTTCTAGATGTCGCACTGCTGTGCCAGTCAGAAAAATGGTTGTTGTTTGGCAGGTGAGAGGGAATGGGTACCAATGACTGGCGATAGTTGTAAATCGCGTTCACTGTTTGGTGGCTTTTGAGATTAATAGATGGAATATTTCCCTGGTGGCCTAATGTTTCAAAGTTCTTTAAAAGTCCGATGGTTTACAAGAAGAGAAGGAGCACCGTTTAACACGTTGACGACAATCGCGTTTTGCGGGTTTTGCGGGAAAGCGCTGCTTGGGACAGTGGCGTTTTCGCATGCGTCCGGTCACCGGTGGCTTACATTGTCCCTCGGCGACGCATCTTTTTTTGCCGCTGTGGCCAATTTTGGCAAAATGATTAGTCAGTCGTGCAGGGACTGCTATTTCAACCATTCTTGACCCTATTGGATGCCATCTCATGCCCCGCCCTCTGCGATAATGCCCGCTTTTTAAGAGCGATCGTGATTTCGAATTTTGTGCTGTATAGTGTTAGTTTCAATTGCGTACGGTTGGCGTGTTCGTGCGGCTGCGTTTGGCGCGGTGCCAAACTCGTTCTCCACGAGTTGTTCAAGCGAGCAAATGACAATACTGTATTATACCTTTCGTATTACTTGTTTTCTACTGCTTTTTGTCGCATGCCCGTTTCAACAAGAAGGCAGAGAACAGCTCAAAGAGGGTGACACACTCATACTGGCTGACACGCCACACCGTCGGCCAGCGAGTAGAGTTACTTCTGTTTCTAAAAGTTTAGTTTTTCCGGAATTTCTTGACTTTTCACACATTTACAGTGACTCATTAGTCAGAATAACCAAGGCGTTCAAGCTTGTACCCAACTCGGTGCCAAAAGATTGCTGGCGCCAAAGTGGCGCCCCCTGGCGCCAGGTGGCCCCAACACTGCAAGGCGACGATATATTCGTGACAAGGATATCAAATAACCTAGGTATAGGAGTTTCTATCGAATTCGGTGCCAAAGAGATTGTAAACGATTAAGGATGAAGACAATCAGTGTTGAGAAACGCCGCGGCTGGGCTCAGTTCATGCCTCCTCACTTTGCGGCGATGTGGACTGGATTACTAAAATGTTCCGAGAATTCGAGATTCATTTTGTGAAGATTTCTTTGAAGAATCAACCCAATAGGACTCGTCGCGCTGCATCACGATCACACAGTTTCAGATGTCGATCCTAGCTTACGAGGGGCTAGTGGATAGTTACCATATAGTGATCAATCTAGTCGTCTGCCAGCGTCCTGCCAGCGTCTACCGTCATTTCAGCGACCAGTAGAGTATATGGGGAAGTAGGAGGGTAGCGAACAAATTGTTGCGTGTGTAGCCGCACTTAACCACTGATGCAGTTTAATGTATAGTGTAGTGTACGGTGCGGTTGCACACGCCGCAATTTCACGACGCCTAATCCAGCTGTTTGCTACCCTCCTACTTCCCCATACTCTCTACTCCCGATCGCTGGTGAACGCTGGTGGACGCTGGTAGACGCTGGCAGACGCTAATCGATACCTACACGTCCCTAGCCCTCTGGACGGTGGCAGACGCTGGATCGATATCTAAACTTTCCTAGTCGCTGACTCTGCCGGATGTTCGCTACGCTGCTGGACGCTGGTCGCAAAGTAAGAACGCAGCATAAGAGGCCTATTGAAAGGTAGGCCGCTCAAATCTTGCGCATGCTTCGAAAAAAATGAACAGCATACCACAACATTAATCCAGTTCTTCCAAAATCTGTGGAAAATCCATCTTATTTTGAGCGTACCTTTTTCCTTCTTGAAATGGAGCTGTGAGATCGTTTCAACCTCATTTTCTCGGTGAATGTGGTCACCATCTTCTGCTGTACTGACTTGGAGTAAGAGGGTGATCGTTCATTATTTAGTTGCACGACAACATTCGGCGGATGGCATGCAGTCTATTGGCTTGTGGTGTCGACCCGTCTAGGACGTTATTGTTTCGTCAGAGCGACGTCCCTGAGATCTCGCAACTTTGCTGGATACTTGGTTCCTTGCAAACAGTTGCCCAACTCCAGCGGTTGCCTCAGTATAAGGAGAAAGCCAGCAAGTACGTTTCTATCTTTAAACTCTTGAAAAGGGGAACACAGTGGTCAACCATATGAGGATAATTGAGGGACTGTAGAGTAGCCCTGGAAAGCCCAGAACAGGAAACTTGGGTTTGCTTCTCGCTCAAAACTTCGGGCAGACTACGCTCAGCTGTCACCATATGATGCTCCGCCTATGAATACACAAGCTCGCATTTGTTCTTCTTTTACTTTGTCCCGCGTTTCTCTTCAATGATCCCTCAAAGACACGCTCCGCGATTAGCAAAGAGTCCTGTCATCTACTCAAGAGGTTACCCTGGGTCAGTGAAGAAGTACCGTTTTCGCGGCTCTGCAGTGCGCAAGAAACGGGTTGCGCGCTCATCGCCCCTTGATGTATCAGGATGTATCTTGATGTCGCAAGAGATGTTTTTGTCAAATGCGATCCCTTTTAGTAACCTACCTACCATATTGACAAATCTTACTAAAATTTTGCCGTGAACTGGGAGGATAGGGGGTAAGACGGAAAAAATTCTCTCGAGGCAATATACGACGCTCCCTACCCAGCAACTATTTACGCCTCCCCCCCCCCCTCTCGCTGTGGCTTCCATAACGGTGCTCTGTGTCGCCTGGGCCCATGAAGAGTCCATGCCAGTTCAAGTTGGGCGTGTCCCTATAAGGCTGTCGTGTTCTCCCATATTCTGGTCTCCTCCCAGGCTCATCAGTTTACTATCGCCTCTCCCGTCTTGCAGCTTACATTCACCATCTCATTCTGTCTCATTGGTCATATAACTGCGAAGAGGGCCTTATTCACGAAAAGATTTTTCTGCTCTTCCCCGCGACTGTGTCAGCTAGCACCGACACTTTTTTGAGCCCCACCGCCTACGAAATGCAATCGCGGAACGTGCTTGTAAGCCCGTTGGTCTGCTTTCGTCATCAACGCCAGGCACCAGTGCGAACCCTGGGGGCTGGTTCATGGGGGCAGTGGAGAGACCTTTCTCTCATAGACTTAGGCTTGGGGTTAGTACGAGGAGCACGCCCGTGGCACCGTTTAAAGGCAGTTGGCACGATAAATCGCTATACAGGTGGATTTGTACAACTGGCTTAACAGAATTCCGTGACCTCGGACAGGCGCTGCGTGAAGCCTTTTCCAAGGAGGGTACCTCTATAACGCCCTATTGAGCAACAACTTTACGTTCGATTGGCAAGATGCGTACGGGAAACTCGTCCGAAATCGATTTACAAGTCACTGAGAACGGAGGCTTTTTCTTCGCAGGATTTTGACCGTTTCACTCCGTTCTTTCGCCATTTCCCCACTATACAGCGCCCTACTAGCATTTTAGGCTAAGTAGGAAACCATCGTGCCAACTGCCTTTAGGAGTACAGTGAAGCAGAGTTCGTCGCGCCTCTGCACAGCCCCTATCAACTTCAGTGCCACCCCACTGCGGTCCATGAACGCTCTCACAGTTCGACGTAATCCATCAGTTAGTATATACATCAGCGTGTACACTATGAAGTACTACGAGGTAGGAGTAGCAAAAAAAAGTTGTATACGTCTGGCGCGGCAAATGAACAGTACAGCTGACGACAACTGAACCTCCGCATTGAAGGAAGTCGAAGAGGGCACACAACAACAAGTGCCAAGCAGTGGAAAGCGCTGTTCGGCTAAGGGGAGGGAATTTTGCACTTCCGCTAGTCTCTTCTACTAGTTCCAGATGTACTACTTCTTGCACTTTGACAAGACCTATAGATCCTTGTCTAAAGTGAACGGAGCTCCTCATATTGAGTAGTTTTACAGGAGTTTGCAGGTCTCTACGGTCGCCATCGGCAGTGATCATGGGGAACCAGCAAAATGCCGCCACCAAGCCGAACTGCGCTTTCTGGAGCAGTTTTGTTAACTGCCGCGATCCCTCGCACCAGTTATTTTAGGTTCAGCTTCGCTCTGAGACTGCCTTCAAACCTAAGCCTTCTCTAAGAGTGGCGTGTGAGAGATACTTTTGCTTGTTTCCCTTCAAATGAGCAGGGCGCTTGCACGCACGTCCCGTACTCAGATAGAGCGGACCAAAATGGACCACCAGTTCTCAAAAGATTTCATTCTCATTTATTCTAGGTTTACTCGAGGTGACGTTCCCGTTGGACTCCTCACCTACCCGATCCTCCAAGCCGCTGACGTCCTCATGTTCAAGGTTCTTTTCAAACGAACCTGCAGATTGACTTCTCTCACTGAGGGATACAATTTCAGGCGACTCATGTCCCAGTGGGTGCCGATCAGGCTCAGCACATGAATTTGTTGGCTGATTTAGCAGATCATTTCAATAGTCACTATAAAACCATGTACTTTCCGCGACCTAAACAGGTGGGGACGCATCAGGTTGTGCTATCCCGTGAATAGTTCGATCGTTGTAGCAGGAGCTAAAAAGGAAAAAAATTTAGGTGATACAGCCAGTTACGTCTCGAGTGCGAAGCTTGCGAGATCCACTGAAAAAGATGAGCAAGTCAGAGAAGAGTGCGAGGTCGAGGCTAGAGGTGAGTCATGACATTCGAAAAACTGTCGTTTTGTGGGCGCAGTCTGGTACCGCTTATTCGACCTTAAAGACAGGTTGCATGATAAATTGTCAAGGCGTGTAGAGTAAACACGCCTAGCACGGAGGAATAGTGGGCCCCTGAGTAGCCGCAAGATGCCGACCCATAGGCCCACCGCAACTGCCCGCCCACAAACGGCCGCACGGCCACATCGATGCTGATACTTTATC